GGCGGCGTCGGAGAGAAGAGCATCGATGCTGGAGGAGAAGGCAGTGGCTCCAGAGCGTTCAGAGGCAGAGCCTGGATGTCTGATTGAGTACAAACCCAGGAAATATTAGAAATACACATACCAGTGGGCTGGGCTGCAGGCTAAGATGCCCAATGAGTATTGAGATGTCCGCACCAGCAGGACAGCTTACCATGGCTGAACAATCACATGAGCCACCAACAATTGCAGTAGATTAGAAAATGACATACCAGCATCAGACCCCTCCTCCTCGGAGGCATCAACGCTCTCGAGCGGAGGCGGAGAGTCACGCTTAGCGGTGGGAGCCTGTAAAAGAGTTAATCCACAATTGGACATAAGCTGTCAAACGTACCGTATCAGCGGCGTCATCGACGTCCATCGCACCACCCTCACCGTAGTTCGACGCGGAGTCGGGAACGGTGTTGGAACGCGAAGGAGGCGGCGGCGGAGGCGGCGGAGGCGAAGCACCCGCGCACGCAGATGACGTGGGGGCCGAGCTATCATCATCAGAGCTGACGACGATCGGCGCGCTAAGAACGCGAGCCGCGCGGGAGCGACCAGGCCCCTTCGCGATCTACAAGAAGGACAATTTAAAACAGGATACACAATATAGAAAGAATAGCACACCTGCATAGGCCGGCCACGGCGGCCTCGGAGCCGCGTCGCCGTACTTGGGATGTTGGCGCGCCCTGTTGAAGGCCGCGGCCACGGACTTGGCGCCTCGACTGAACCGACCGACGCCAAACGCGTGGTTGTTCTGGTCAAGACGCATATTGATCTCCGTGTTGAGACGGCGCAGCGCCGCCGTGTCCGCGTCGGGCTGGCCATGCGACACGAAGTCCATGGAGTTCAGCAGCAGGTCCCGCGCGGCCTGAAGCAACACAGGGTCGTCCGCAATGTGGTGGGCGTAAGTAAAATGCTGGCCCTCGAGATATGTTAGTAAACAGGCAGGATAGAACACGGAAATTTAAATTTACCCATTTCCAGCACTCGCTCAAAAAGTGTGTCGCGCGTTGAGGTCCTTGAAGACAGGGCTCGCGTTGAACTTGGCGGAGGCCAAGAGGCACTTGCGAACCGCCAGGGCATGCGGTGAACGTCGGGGTTCCACACCTGGATGGTGGGAGTGGAAAGAGAGGCAGTCTTGAGGTTGGACACCATGGTTGAGATGACTAAGTAAGAGTGAGTAGAGGGGGTCGACGAGTCGATGGGGCTTACCGGAGCAGCAGGCCAGCTTTTATAGCTGCAGCCCGGACCCTTGCCTTATGACGCGTCGTCCTCCCCCCCAGAACTGGGGACAGTTCTGGGTTCTGAAAAAAGGGACGGGAGGGTCCGCAGGCGCGTCGTGGCTTACCAATTGCCACGCGACGTCCACAAGGCCAAAGAAGGCAATTTTCGCGCCTGGAGGCGCCCCTAAGACCCAATAGAAGCAGGACAAGAGCCTATATTGACAAGAAATAGGTATACAGAGCCGTACGGAAGACGGCGTTCGGCCCGGAGTTGCCTGCGCAGTGCGCACACAGCAGCACGGGACGGCGCCGACACAACCAGCTAGCACGCTGAGTTGCCTGTGCAGCGCGCACACAGCAACACGGAACGCAAACGCGCTCACAGGGTGGAAGATGGGAGCCGGGCTCAATCGACAGCGAGAGGTCGAATGGGTACCGCCGAAGACGGCTAGCACCCAGCGAAAGGAACAGGGGATGCTAGTAAAGGGATCAGTAAGCAGAACCGGCATAGACGTACCTGGCTTTGTCCGCCCAGCCCCGTGTTCCGCCATCCCGCCCTCATCCCCGCTGTTTGCGCCCCAAAATCCACCACGGCCAGCCACCCGGCACTCCAGACAGGCCATATTTCGCCAGAGCACAGAGATGAGACGCCGAGAACGGCGCCGAACGCGAGAAAACGCGCGCGTCGAGCGATGACGCGTCGCCAGCACGAGGCCAACCAGCCGCGCGGAAGCCCGCCGCAGCCAGAGAACGAGGGAAGCCACCGGTAAGGGACAGCCGAACGAGCAACACGAGGCTCGTCGGACAGGGACAACACAACGTAGGGACTCACCAGAGAGCCCCGCCCAAACCTCTACCGAACAGCGCAGAACCGCCGTTCCCTGCCCCCAGCTCCTCCCATCCCACCCATCCGAACGTTCCCATCGGTCAGATTCGACGATAGAGCGCCGATCGCCGCCCAGGACAACGAGAAACGCGATAAGTCGTGCGCGTCGGGCGATGACGCGTCGCCCAAGCGGATCGGGCCGGCAGAGAGAAAGCTGCGCCAGCAGGCAGGAAGAAGGCGCCGAGAGAGACGCGAGGCCGCCAGTAGAAGCGCCCCGACGAGCGCACGAGGCTCGTAGGGCAGGGCCAGAGGTCGTGCAAGATGACGTGGTGGTGGTCAAGAAGGAAGAAGCACGGCACCGCCTCGTGATCGGCAGCACGGAAGCCTGACCGGACCGAAGATGGAACGGACCGACGACCGACGATCCGTTCGGCGATCTAGCCAAGATAACCAGATTCGATCGCCGAGATCGCCGAACGAGATTAGATAGTACTTCAAACGCTTGCAAACAGATAATAAAACCGTAAAACTGAGAAGGTCATAGTCATTTGAGAGGTTGGACATACCAGAGGACATGAATGAAATGTTAAGAAAAACATTTATGATTACCGGATATCAACAAGATGACTGGGGGACCATTGAAAATTGGTTAAGTGACAGAGAAATTGACAGAAAAGTGCTGGAAAATTAGAGAAAAATCTGGAAAAATGATAGAATAATAATATACATATATGGTACCTGCAGAGATAACCAGACCAAGTTATAGGGCACAACAGAGGTACTACAGTGCAGTGATAATGATAGATTCAAAACAGGAAACAAGGACATTAATGGTGAAGCTCCACCTAGTTGAAACTGGGACTTGATCTTCATATTTTGCATGGCATAAAAACAAAACCCAGTGAAAAATGTAGCTGGAAGTGATGAAAAATGTAGTCAGATATTGTTGCTTGAACTGACCGAGGACGGTCAAGATTTATGAAAAGGGGAGATAATGAGCGGTCAATATGACCACCATATGAATGATAACATATGGACCCCATAAATTCATTTTCATGCACAATAGCTATGGAACATATGAAGAATCTCAGAATAAATGTTGCAAACCTTTGAATCAAATCTATATGCACCCGGCCACAAGGTCTAGGCCTGCTCTAGGCCAGGGACTGGTCTAGACTCTGAACCGAACCAAGGGTAACATGTCCATATTTGGCAAGTCTGACCCAGGACCTATATTAGAACCTTCCAGAAGCCTGAACTAGAACATTCTAGAACCGGATCAGCGGATCAAGTCACATCGTCACGGATTATGTAATTAATTTGAGAGTAGTATATAAGGAGGCCTGTAAAACCCTAGATAAATAGATTAGCCCCTGGGTGTGACTACTACCATCGTCACATCAGTCGGGTTTTTGTCACACTTCACATATCGTCAGGTTAAGATAAACGTCAGGTTAGGTTAAGTCAAGTTAGGTTAAGTCAAGTCAAGTCAAGTCAGGTCAAGTAGTTAAGTCAAGTCAAGTTAGGGAGAGTTGAGCCATATTGCTCCTCTCAACAATCTCACACCATCTCAACCATCTGCTCTATTGTTCATCTAAAGTGAAAACAGTTAAACACAGTTTAAACAACATCCCAATTACAACTGAGATCCAATAAGAATATCTGAATTTGTTAGCCGTTTCCTGTGGCTCGAACCCCGAACACAAACCGCACATAATTAGGATTTGATTAGTTGAGTTGAAGGTCCTGGTGATCTCCTTGATTGCTCATTTTCTACGTGTATTACTAGTCAAGGCGAGGCCAAGGCTGAGGGGGAGCAGGAGAGCTAGGAATCGACCACGAAGGCATATTTTTGCAGTACTAGTATACTTGCTTGGGTAGAAGCTTTAGTCGATGTTCCCAAGAGAGTCCACACTAAACGACGAACCGAGAATAACCAGACTGATGAATTCAAGACCCCGTCCGCCGGACGAGCATGTTATGCAGAAACGAAGAGGGCGCCGATTCAGACAGACTATGAAGTAGCCATCAGCTCTGGGTTGCGTCATAAAAAGACATTTACTTACCTACAAGTATGTAGGCTACAACCGTGTCGCGTCAATATGGTGGCCAAACTAGCAGCCGGCATTGTCCAGATGATCAGCCAGGTTTTTGGTACCGCTGGCCATTGTGCACCTCTCGGTGCGGTTGGACTGAGTCGTGTTCAGGTCGGGTGTATGGGTGAGCGAAGACGATCCGGTGACGCCACATGGCTTTCGAAGGGGGGTGGAAAGCCGTCGTAAGTAGAGGAAGCGAAAGTGGAAGCTGATGGCGATGGTTGACTGTAAACGATATCTTACTCCAGCCGTGACAACCAAGTAACAAGTTTTCAGCAGGAATTATCGGCGCTGCTGAGCTGAATAGAGGCATCAAGGAGAGCTCTCGTCTCGTCTGATACTCCCTCGTCCGTCAATGGGAACTTCTATCTGGCCGCGCAACGCCATATATTTTCGTTCTATGTGCCGAGGCCCGAAAGCGATCGTGAATAAATGACAAAGGCGAAAGAGGCGAAAGAGGCATGCAAGTCCACCTTGCTTCCCTTAGCCACCATGCTAACTAAGGCGGAACCCATCGCCGTTCCGCCCCAGGTATATGCGCAGGCACAACAAGACAGGTTATCGAGGCCGTGGCTTGATTGCAGCACAAGTGGCGACGTCGTCGAAAACGGTGTCGACGAAGGTCTTCCCATCGATGAAAGCGTCCTGAAAGAATTTATTGGAATGGGTGGCTTGTACTGCACCACGGGATACAGTTTATAGGGCGGTATGTGGTGCAGAAGCAGAGGTGAAACGTTTTTCTCCGATGTGCTGTCACGTGACCTTCGGGAATAATAGCAGGCGCAGTCTTGTCGAGTCGGAGGTGAAGCGGGGAAGGATGGTGAGGATTCCGGCTTAGCAGGGATGGATAACGAATGTGTTGACGACCATGACCTTCTTTTGGGTGTCTTTCTCGAATGGGGGGAGACGGATGAGGGAATAGTGAATGTTTCTTGTCGCTGGCTGGGATTGTATTCAGCTGTTGAAATGTCCTGTTTCTGGCGTCCTACGCCTCTGAAGAGATACTAGTATGAAGTAAGTACAGCATCAGCCATAGGACAACACACACCAGTACGAGTTGCTGCATTCTTTCAGTTCTTCATCGTTGGAGCCACGAAAGTAGGCCTCGTACTACCTGCTGCACAAATATTGGCGGAGGCGATATATATGGGTAAGGACACGCAGGAGGGGGCTCGTTTACGACGACGCTTGACTGTACTGTCTCTTTGGCCTCCTCTTTGACCGGGACAGTGTCCCGGGCGGTAGTCGTCCGATATAGCGCGCTTTTGCTCGTAGGGGGAATAAGCAGCGCAGTGTGTCGCTCAAAAAGATGCAGAGACACCCAGGAAAGGTTTCAGGAATATCTGCCACGAAAATGCGTCAGTCAAGCGGAGGAGGATGTACAGGTCGCGTTTGATATACCAGCCTGAGGAGGACCCTCGTCATCCCTACGAGTCACGGCGCACCCGTCTCTCTCCGAAGTCGCTGGTCGTCGGCTGTCTGGCGACGCGTAGCATGAGCCAGAAACGACCAGGGGCCTGGACCAGAGCCCGCAGAGCATCTATCGTGTGAGGCTGGCAATTTGCGAATCGTTGGTGGAGCTCGAAACTATGCAGTCGACTACATCTTCGCCAATTCGCTAGCACATTGGACGTTTAGTGTTGAAGTTCAGCCGCGTGTTGAGCAGCAAGGCATTATGGGAGGGTGGTGAAGGCTGAAGCGCTCATGAAAAGAAAGCGATACTTAGTCGCAAATGATCTCGTGACTTTGACATCTTCTTCCCGACATCGACAATTAACCTCGTTCTCCCCAGCCTCCTGACACAAACGCTACTGCGCAGGCGACAACGAGTGCACAACACAACGCTCCTGCGGCGAGAAACTGACTCGGTGAGCGACCGCGACCCTGCTGGTGCCCCATCGTCGATCGAGATGAGCTCCGTCCTTATCAAGTGGGTGTGGGCTTCGCGGACTTCGAAGCAGAGCTAAAGCGGTGTATCTAGCGTCAGGAATGGAGATGCCAAAGCTAGAGTTCGACAACAGCATTGTGCATATTACTCTGCAACAACGACGTGAGCACCGCCCTCCAATCTTCCCGCCCCGTCTAACCACCCACCACAGCATTGGATCGCGCGCTCTTGGATAAGGGTATGAAGGATATACTCGACATGTTCAACCGCTTTGTGCCCGTTGGGGACCCGCGCCGGCTCGAGGTGGAAAAGTGCGTGCCCAGATACTTAACACGCCGGATCGCTTCTAACATTGACCAGGCAAGGCCTCAAGGATCTCGACAAGGTCATCGAAATGGGCATCGCGTACTGCTACCACCATGGCGTGCTCGCCACCGTGGAAGGTGTCCTCGAAGATCTTGAGAACAAACTAGCAGACATCAAGACCCCTCCGCAGGGCCCGCAAGCATACACAATGTACGACTCCTCTGAAGATGAGAGCGAGCCTGAAGACGAGGCGAAGCACAAGCACGCACGCGGGCCTCTAAACACAAGCCAGCCCGACACGGAAGACAACTCCAAAAACCAGAACGCCGGTACTAGTACAGAAAGTAGCTGCGCGACGTTTGTACCACCAGTCTATATACCCTACACGAAGGTTTTTTTTTGTGGTCAAACAGAATCTAATCTTCAGTGAAATCATCGATTGAAACAAAGATCGTGGCAAAATACTGGACAGCGTATGTACACCATTGAAGGGGGGGTTCAGAAGCTAGTTATTAGCAAAGAAAGGACTCCAAGGGTATGTAGTTAGTATCACATCAACAACACCATACTACCGCCAATAATGGCCAGTCGGCTGTCAAGACTAGCGACAAGTGATGCAACGACCGCGAGGAAGGGGGGGAAAGCCCTTATTTCAGGCGGAACCAGTATACGATGGAGTAGACCCACCAGCCCGAGCTTGAGCCATTTTATTAGTTGTCTCGGAACAGACAGTCAAAACACGCACAATTGGTATACTAGTAGGACTGCACCAGGAAATGCAAAAAGCATGCACAATTGCTTAGGCTGGACTAGAGGATGCGAGAGACATTCGACGATAAAAGACACAAACGGAGGCCCGGGTCCAGAGCGTTGAAGTACTAGTAGTCCCGTAGTTGACGTTTAGTTGGTACTGCCTTCTCGCTGCCAAGTATGGTATCAGAGAATTCGACCAAAGATTGTGCAGTTATAAGGGGAAAGGCGGGGATGACGGCCAGGGAGGTCGTGCCCTGGATACAGACGCCAGCTTGAGTCTTTTCATTAGCGGTCACAGCGGGTAGCCACTGCTCTGCTCACCTCGGTTTCGAAAGGTGGTATTCCCGCGTTTTGTAAAGTGGTCGTGTAATAAGACGGAGATGGACAAGGAATTGGTGTTCACTCACGTATCCCAAGACCTCTACACTTTCCCTCGTTCGATGAGACCATCGGATAACTCCTCGAAACATGTCCCCAACATCGATGGCCTTGCGGAGCGACATGCGAGATTAGCTGTCCGTTCTTGTTGGGGGCAAGGGGAGGAGCACGATGCTACAGCTGTTCCGAGAAACATCGCCGAGGTTGCTGGGCACAAATGCACTAGACGCGCAGCGATGCTCTGGTGGTACTTCTATAGAGAGTAAGAGTTTAGTCAATGTCCACGGAGGCTGGTCAAGTTACGCACGAAGAAAGGCCATATCCATGTCCCCCCGTCGGAGACAGGTATGAGTTGGAAGCTACTGCCCACATGGAGAGCATAGTTTCACCAGCAAACGGGTTAACGGCTATTAGTCGCGTCTGTGCAAGCACAGGCAGCCAAATATTGTGCCCTGATGCCCTTGGCGTGTAACTTCGTCTGGTGAGCGAGTACGGTGCGACTGGGCCTGTCCGGGTCGGGTATGAAGGACGTAGAGAGCCATGGCAAGTGGAAAGAGCGAAAGTGGGAGATGATGATGGTGGTTTACTGCTTGCTCCAGACGCGGATGTCACGACGTTCCTGGTCGTCAATGTTTAGCCTTTCATTTTCGCCTCCATGCTCAAGCCACGTCAAAGTTTCTGAAAAGGGGGAAAAACACTCGTTTGCAAGTCATTCAGCGCGGCGTTGGAGGATGCGCTACCGAAATTCAGACTCTAGTTTAAATTCTGAGCTTACGCCGCCGAGTTTTGACAAACCAAATCGACTATTAACGTTCCAAAATGTCGCCACTAGTACTCAACTCAGTACTTGATACTAGTATGCCCAAACACCCATCTCGTCTACGACTTTTCTGACCTCGGCAGTAATGTCCATCTGGTCCAAAGTTCCTTTGAGGCTGGCCAGCTCCGTTAATTTCGAAGCGTACTGGTTGTTCGTCAACCTCAGCGGCATGGGAATCCACCTTGTTGTGTTCTCTTCCTCTCGAGGGTCTTGTCGCCCGAGTGCAACCTCGACAAGATGCATTTGCATCATTCCCCTGCTCTCCCGCACCCGTTGGAAGTCATGGGGGTACATAGCAACGACACGCGCCACTTCTGGATCAGTAATATCCAAGATCTCCGGTGCCAATGGGCCCACAACCAGTGGCTCGTCTGGTACGTCCATTTGCAACTTGTAGATGTCCAGCAATTTGAATTTGACGCAGAGTTGGTCGAACGGGACATCACGGCTTGCAAGAACGTCCACAAGCTCGACAGATATGGCGTGTTTATGGGTTTGGAACATCCAACCGGTAATTGTGCGGAAGAATGAGCGATCTTGGCGGCAGATGAGAGTCCGATACGCTAAGTACTCGGATGTAAGTGTCCGCGCATACGAATTGACGCCCAGGCAAGCGCTTACCCATGGTATCGGACCTCAGAGTAGCGCATTGTTCGCGGTGGCATTTTCTCCAATCTAAACGTTGACAACTTGTGTTGCAGTATTGCCGACTGAGACAATGTGGGCATTGCTTTAGTACTCCTTTGCGTACGATCCGGCCGCACTGTAAAGGAATCAGTTGCGCGTAAAAGCAAACAAGGCCACAAGACGATGACCTGAATGGCATCACAAGCTCGAAGGTTGGTGGGCGATGTTGATTGTTGTTTGTATCCCACCACGTCTTTAAGCAGTTGCTCAACATGGTATCGGAGGACACGCCACAGTATCGAAGTTTCTGGGTGAACAAACTCATTGTCCAGTGGGTCGAGGCCTGAATTGTCCACGTCCTGGAACGCCGCGCTCAGTGCGACAAGAACTGAATAATAGAAGCTATAAGCTGAGAGCGTGCATCCGAGAAGTCGGTGTGCAAGGCGTAACATATGATCATCATGCTGATGTCCTATCCTGGCGTTAGCTTTGGCGCAGAGAAGGAGGGCGCGCAACAGTCCCGCGTCAAGAGCCTCGACTAACCATTCTTGCAGACGGCGGTTCCGAGTCGCGCTACTAGTATTCAGGTTGAAGGCAAGGAATATGTCGTAAAACATGAGCGTTTGCGGTGACTCGATTGGTAATTCAGAGGAACCTCCTCGATGTTCAAGATAGGCATCAGCAGTCATCGTCGCCCGTGAGCACACTCCTTTGATTAATGGGGAAATAACCCCAGCGTCGAGAAGGTATCGAGCAAAATCCGAACAGCCTTTTCGCCCAATGTCCATCAGCCTGGCAAGAACGCTGAATTCCATAACAAATATTGAGGCAGGGTCAGGCGAAATGGGATGAGGACGCTCTTGTTCGATTTGTTGTAGGGTTGCGACAATGACTCGAGCTAACGATTTCCATGATCCCCCTGTTCCAGCAATAAGATATTGAAGGGCATCAGGATCGTCAGCGACCCAAAGGTGACCGTTGGGCTTCAATAGTGCGCGTACCAGGTCTGTCATGCAGAGGGAATTGTCGCGAAATTTTGATTCGGAAACCAATCGACGCCAGAGGCTCCCAACAATCGGGAGGGATACACGAGGGTCATTCACTGCGACAACCGCAGCACTGGGCACGAAGAACATGTCTCGGAGAATCCATATAATGTTGAAGGCTCCAAGAAGGATTTGATTCTGATTTGTTTCGACGACGAGCGCAGGAAGTTGCTCGAAAAGAGCGTCGATGAACTGCATCCAACCGAGAATTCGTGGCCAAATCTCGGTGATGGTCTCGGCTGGGAGAAGGGATCGTTTGAAAAGGGGGCCAAGGGCATTGATTGACCATAAAGCACAATATATTCGCGACCAAAGATCCAATCTCCCCTCGACTTCAGGCCTTGAGTTGGGGAGCTCCTCCGAGTCGGTGGCCAACTCGAGCTCGATGAACTCAAGTTCAGGGATATATGATAAGTTGAGTTGAGAGTAAAAGACTGGTCCGAGAAGAGCCTTTTGAGGGTCGGTAAAAGCATCCCACCGACGCACGATTGCGCTTATTGCCTCCACGGAACCTGGGCCGCTCACAGCAGTTTTTGCGTGGTGCTATCTATAGAGTCAGTGAATCATTCTATCAGTGTATGTATATACTCGCTCGAATTCCTATAGGCAGACGGGAGAGGCTAGATAACTGGAGAGAGGGATGCATAACTGGTTGGAAGAAAAGAAGTCGCGACTCGTCACGGCTTAGTGCTGATGTGACGAAGCGCGGATCAAACACTTCTCCAAAAATAGTGACAGACGAGGCCGAGTCAATGCTTTAATGGGTGCGAACTAAAGGATTGATTAGAACCTACATGCATAGAATCCACTAACTTGAGACTCTTCGTCCTCTCAGTCGCGCGCTGGCTGCCAATATCTTCAGTTCTTTTGCTCAGGTGACCGTGACTCGGCGATCGGGCATGATGAAACGCCGCAACGCATTCGTAATGGTCACAACAGTCGTCACGCCTTCATGCAATTTCTCCCACCACCCTTCTCTTGTCCTCAATCGCCACCAGCACTGTAGACCCGGCTTGTTCCCTGTGTACCGGCCCTCCTACACCCGCCTCTTTCCCCTCGACACGCTCGCTCTACCACTTCACAACCGTGAATCACTGTCGTTATGTTTGCACTCACCTCTGTCGCTTTGCTCCTCCTTCCTTCCGTCTTGGCCACAAACCACACTTTGTCCCGTCGTTACAGCAATATTCGGATGACAAACTACTTCGGTGAGTGCCTTGTCACTGTTTCAGGCATCTGCTGAAGCGACCGACAGCTGGTGAAGACCAGTAAGTCTTTGCCGCTATGGCGCAAGGAAAAGAGAGGGCTGACAAAGTCTTCTAGAGGCGCGTGTGGTGCCTGGCATCAAGACAGCGAATTTGTTCGTCCGTTTCTAGTCGTGAAATATCTGTTTCATCGCTCACACTCTGACAGGTCGTTGCGCTCTCACACCAAAACTTCAATAACGGACAATACTGCAATAAGCAAGTTACCATCTCTTACAACGGCAAAACTGGCACCGGTATCATCGTCGATGAGGTGAGTTTCCTTCCCATGTCTCGTTCTTCCACCGTTAACTCCGACCACAGTGCATGGGTTGCCCAGACTGGGGCCTCGACTTGTCGCAGAGCTTCTTCGGTCATTTCGTTGGTGGCCAGCAAAACAACAACCTTGTCGGCGTTATTCAAGGTGCGCAATATATCCTCTTATGCACCCGCCTCTCATTCTTTCTAGCGGAATGGTCGTTCGGCGGATCTGCCGGTAACAACGGTGACAACGGCGACAACGGCGACAACGGCGGTAAAAAAGACCACAACGACGACCAAG